ACAGGTCTCTCCAATATCATTTAAAATAAAAAAAAAAAAAAATTATTGCTTATTTGATACGAATTTTAAAATTATAAATTTATAATCACAATTCATCAATATAACTCATTTAATTTTTTTACATTATTAAATATAGAGTACAAAATAATTCTTGAATGTCATATACCTCAAAGATTACAAACATGATACAAATATACAGTAATTGAAAATCCAATACACAAAAATAAAATAAAAAAACAAAACGTTGTAAATGATAACTTCCAGTTCCAAAGATCTTCTAGATGATAACTTTAAGAAATCTTTTACCTGTAACCACAAATATACACAAAGTAAAACCAGACAGAAATTAATATCTAATAAAATAAATCAGAAAAATTAAACCAACATAATTTTATAAAAAAAATCATTGTTTTCAAAAAAAAAATCAAAACAAAAATTAATACGGAAACTTAACCAAAAAAGTAAAAAATAAAATAAAATAAAAAAATAAAACATATGAAACAAAACAAAGATCTAAAAATTGAAAAGAAAAATTCATAACTGATGAAATACAGGATGTAAACCAAAAATTTGGTTAAATGGCTATTAAACACACAAAAAGAAAAAATAAAAATGAAATTTCATAAAAATAATTTTAACCAATTTCAAAAACGAGCTAAAGAGTGAATTGACAAGATAAACTAAAAAGATAAATTTTAAAGACGAAAAAAAATTCTTGAACTAAAATCTGAAGAACTAAAAAATGATATTGAAAACAAAAATAAAATAAATTCATCAACATATCAAATCTGGCTAACATAAAAGAAGAACGAAACGAACAATAACATATATAAAAAAAATAAACGAAAAATCAACTAAACTAGATCTAATACTACAGAAGATCTAAGGGGGAAAAATGTTTAAAAACGTAAAAGAAAAAGGGGATAAAGCTATTACATCCATTGAAAAAAACCCCAAAACGAAACCGAAAAATACATCATGTTCAAATCGCATAAATTTCATAAAAAATGACGAAAATTGGTTTTGAAACAAAAACATTAACATGCAAAATAAACAAACTATAATCAATTACCATGGCTAAACGAAAAATCGGACAATTTTTTGATTTTTTTAACAAAAAAAATGTTAAAAAGCAAAGTTTAAAAGAAATTCAGATTTTTAATTAAGAAAAAATAATAAAAATGAACATCAGATGACTAGAACACAAAGATCTACTCAAATAAAATCATAGATAACTAGAAAGAAAATGAAGGGGAAAAAACCCCTATTTTTTGCGCCACATCTAAGAACAAAATAAAAAAAAAATTGAAAAGGGGGATTGAAGAATTCTCACCGTCGAGAATCGAAGAGCTTAATTTCCATAATTTTGCTCTCTTTCTTTTCTTCGTTAATGGCTGCTCGAATTGAACAGTTGCTAGCTATTTGGCTTGAAGGAAGAAAATAGTTAGGGTTTAAAGGAGGAGAGAGAAAGAGATGAGAGAAGAAGAGAAAGGAAATGAGCGGCGGTAACTAAGCTAGGGAATGAAGAGGAGAGAGAAGTTAAAGAGAAAAAGTGAGTGGGGACGTGCGTGGAACCTCAAAAACCAAGAGACCCGTTTTTAATGTTAACAGGTCTATCTATCAAAAACAAGAGACCGGTTTTCACAAAAGGCGGTCTCTGGTTTATTTTTGATAAATAATTTTTTCTCAAAAAAAACACTAGAGACCCGTTGTCTTAAATAACCAGTCTCTCGAATAAATTTACCACTCCAACCACTAAAGTTAGAGACCCGTTATTAATAATAAACGGTCTCTTGGATTAAAGAGACCGCTTATGTAGATGACAGGTCTTATATATTGGGTCTCTTTGGCCAATTTTGTAGTAGTTTTTCAAACACAATCTGTTGTCTGTTGGAAAACTCCTTGATGAAAATAATCTTGTGGCTATTTTTTAGCAAGATTCATTCTGTTTTCATGACCTTGCAACTAAGAGTATTCAAGCTCGAGGTACAAGGAAGTCAGGTTTATACAAATTTGCTTGTAATTTTCCTACTGTTTTAAATAATGGTATTGTGTCCACTGTAAACAATACAATTACTTCTTCTCTTAAGCCTGTTATTGATCTAATTCATGCTAGATTAGGTCATATCTCCTTGAGTCATCTTAGACATTTATCAGTTCCATCTATAAGTAATATCAAAGACACTAGTGATTTTTGTTGTGAAGCATGTGTTCTTGGTAAACACCATAAACTGCCTTTTATGCCTTCTGCTTCTCATGCTTTGAATGCTTTTAATCTGGTGCATGTGGATTTATGGGGTAAATACAAAAGACCTTCTTTCACTAGTAGAAAAATAGCAAAGGGCACCGGTTCAAACCCGACTTAAGGCACCGGTTTGAACCCGTGCCTATGAAGGGGGTGCCAATTACACCCCTTTTTGGCACCGGTTCAAAACCGGTGCCATAAACCGGTTTTGGCACCGGTTAACCGGTGCCTTAAATAATTCTGCGGAATATTTTTTGTTAGTGGAAGTTGTTTTAGGCACCGGTTAACTGGTGCCTTTTTGGTATTTTTTTATTTTTTTATTTTTTTTTTTACTTTTTTCTTGCAATAATAATAAAAATAATATACAAACAAACATGAAATACGAACCAAACAAAAATAAATGGTGAAATACGGATTCTTGAAATTGTTATATTCAACATCAAAACAATGGTAAATCACATTATATTCAACAAGTAAATTGTTATTGTACCATACAAAAAAAAAATTACAATGAATTATAATGAAATTTAACTCAGAAAATGAAATTGTAAAACAATAAAAAAATAAAAAAAAATTACAACATCAAAATAATATTCCAAAATCAAAATCTTGAATCCTTGTTGCATGAATTAACACCTGCATCAATTAAAACCCAGAAATTATTAAAACTAAAAAAAAAACGAGAAGCAATAACTCAGAAAACTAATGCATGAACGAGAAAGAGAAAATCAATCCAGAAAACCGCACAAACAATGAATTATAATGACAAAATCAATAAACCCAAAATCAAACCCAGCAATCAATTAAACCCAGCAAATCCAGAAAATCAATTAACCCCAAAACTTTCGAAAATCAATTAAACCCAGAAATTTCAAAAAATCAATTAAGTGCAAAAAATGACAAAATCAATTGACCCAAATAATTCCAAGATCAATTACACCAATCAATTTCGAACAATATTACAACAATCAAACCCAAAAAAATTAAGGCACATAGCATAAATAATTAAACCCAGAAACCCTTACCCCGAATAATTAAACCCAGAAACATTGAGTTCGTCGCCTATAACTCACTCCATTGAGTTCGTCGCCTATAACTCGCCAATTCACTTAGAAGATAGAGTCGCAAAAACAGGCTCTTTCTAAGGAGGTGGTTCTAGAAAGAGATCCGAGTAGAGGTAGGTGGATGGGGGAAACATAGCATGCATGTCACAAGAGCGAGGCGAGCAAGAAGCACCTACTGCGAGAGGGGCGCCTCGCGTCTTAAGGCCGGGCTTAGAAGTAGTTTTCAGGTCAGAAGAAGAGGACAGAGAGGGGAGAGAGACAGAGAAGAGAGGTCGGAAAGCTGAGAGGAGAAAGAGAGGAGAGAGAAGGAGGAGAGGCGCTCAGCTGGAGGAGAAAGAGAGGAGAGATAAGGAGGTTAGGGTTTATAAATAAACAAACCCGGGTTTTTTTTTGGTGCACCGGTTCAGCAGCACCGGTTCAAACCGGTGGCCTTTTTATTTTTGGCACCGGTTAGATCTGAACCGGTGCCATTGTTCTTGGTCTAAATCCCCGCCCAATTTTAGGCCGGTTTTTGGCACCGGTTTGGTCTGAACCGGTGCTAATTGGGGGTTGCCTTTTTGTATTTTTCTACTAGTATTTGTCTGGTGCTTATTATTTCTTAACCATAGTAGATGATCACACCAGAGTCACTTGGACACATTTATTGTCCTGTAAGACTCAAATGTTTGGTGTTCTTGCTGCTTTTCTGAAATATGTGAACACACAATTTGATCGAAAGGTCAAAATGATTAAAAGTAACAATGGAACTGAGATTATACAAGAAACTTGCTTAAATCTGTTTAGTGATCAGGGAATTGTTCATCAAAGAAGCATTCTTGGTAATCCCCAGCAGAATGGGAGGGTAGAAAGGAAGCATAGACATCTTTTGGAAACAGCTAGGACATTGAGAATTCACGCTGGATTACCTTATAAATTTTGGGGCGATTGTCTCTTAGCTGCTACACATTTTATCAATCTTATTCCTAGTTCTGTCCTTCATTGGAAAACACCTTTTGAGATGCTGATGCATAAATTTATATATTATTCCTCTCCGAGAGTTTTTGGGTGCCTGTATTATCCTGCTTTGAAGATTGGTGATAAATTTACTCCTAGGTCTTCAAGGTACGATATTCATATGGACAATAGGGGTATAAGCTTTATGATTTGCAAGATCATAAAGTGATTTTAAGTAGGGATGTGTACTTTGTTGAGCATTCCTTTCCTTTCAAAGAATTTACTTCATCTCCTGAGTTAGTTTCTTCTCCTCCTATTACTCAACCTATTTCTCTTGTTAACCCTTCTCTGGATGTTTCTATTCCCTCTTTGATTCCTCAAACACACATACATTCTGATAATAACGATAACAATATGGATTCTGCTTCTCCTAGTGTTTCTGTTGATGTTTCTGAGAATTTCATAGAACCAACTACAGAATCTGTTTCTTCTGATTCTGCCCATTGTTCCTGCTGTTCTTCCTGTGAAAACTTCTACTCGACCTGTTCAATTGCCATCTAATTTCAAGGATTTTGTCTTAAGTAAACCAGTTACAAGGCATACTTTTGATTCTGAGTCACTTTCTTCCTTTTTTAGTGTTTATAGTGAACCTTCTTTGGCTCATTTGTCATGGTTTGCATATTTTATCTTTGGTACATTCTTCTTAGGAACCTTCTACATATAATCAAGCCAAAGATCATCCTCAATGAGTTGAGGTAATGAATAAGGAACTTGAGGCTCTTGAATTAAATGTTACTTGGGAATTGACTACTTTACCTCCTAATAAGACTGCTATTGGGTGCAAATGGGTTTATAAAACCAAATTTAAGCCCAATGGATATATTGAGAGATGCAATGGAAAAGTAGTAGCTAGAGGGGATAAGCAGATTTCCGGTAAGGACTACAAACACACTTTTAGTCCTGTTTTTAGTCCTGTGGCAAAACTGACAACTGTTAGGGTCATCATTAGGGATGTCAGTAGGGCAGGTCAAGTAGGATACCCGTCCCATCCCCGCCCTAGTGGGGCGGGGATGGGTCTTGGTTTGGTGGGTGGTGGGGCGGGGATGGGGATAAAAATTATACCCGCCATGGGGGATGGCCTGGGGCGAGGGTGGATTTAACATTGTACCCGCCCATCCCCGCCCCGCTCCACCCGCCCCACTTTGTACCCGTCTCATCCCCACCTCACACCACATTTATATATTTTATAAAATAAAATTATATACTTTAATACTATTTTATATAAAAAAAAATTATGTAAAATAAATTATTAAAAGATGTAATAATTTGTAATACACCTATTTTATAATTAATAAAAAAAGTGTGTAATATTAATAATCATTTTATTTGTTGTAGTTTATATTAAATATGTTGGATTGTGTATTGGTAGGTGGGGATTAGGCGGGTCTTAGGTGGGGATTAAGTGGGGATGGGGCGGGGATGCATGGTTTTGAAATTGTACCCGCAAGGGCGGGGATGGGGATGATTTTTGGACCCGCCGCGGGGATGGGGATGAAGATGATAATTTTAGGTGGAGATGGGGATGGGAAGCCCAACATCCGCCCCGACCCGCCCCATTGACATCCTTAGTCATCATGGCTCTTGCTGTTGTGAAGAAGTAGGATATACAACAGTTGGATATAAACAATGCTTTTTTGCATGGTTTTCTTGATGAGGAGGTTTATATGACACCTCCACCTGGATATAAAAAGGAAAAACCAGGTCAAGTATGTAAGTTAAAGAGATCAATATATGGGTTAAAACAAGCTTCTAGATGCTGCATGGAATAAGGAACTAAGCAAGTTTCTTGTGAGTTGGGGTTTTGTTCAGTCAAAACAGAATTATTTTATGTTTGTTTTGGCAAGGGATGGTGAATTTACAGTAGTAGTGGCTTATGTTGATGATTTGTTGCTGACTGGCAGTAATTCATTGATAATTCATGCATTAAAGGCAGATTTACATTCTGCTTTTACCATCAAAGATCTGGAAAGCTTGAAGTATTTTCTTGGTATTGAAGTATCTAGAACTGATGCTGGAATTCTCCTGAATCAAATAAAATATATTCTGGATCTTTTGAAGGATCATAATATAATGAATTGTAATCATGCTCTCTTTCCTTTTCCTAAAGGGATGAAGCTAAGTAATTTTGAAGGAGATATGTTCGAAGATCATGAATTCTACAGAAGGTTAATTGGTAAACTTCTGTATCTGAATATGACTAGACCCAATATTTCATATTCAGTTCGACAGCTAAGTCAATTTTTGGGTGCTCCAAGGGTTCATCATCTAGCTGCAACAATTCATGTTCTCATATATATGAAAGGCTCACTCAATATGGGTTTGTTTTATCCTGCTACTTCAGGTCTGCATTTATCAGCTTTTAGTGATGCTGATTGGGGAGCTTGTGATGATTCAGACAGGTCTCTTACAGGTTATTGTGTATTTCTTGGAAATTCCTTTATTTCTTGGAAAACCAAGAAACAAAAGGTGGTGTCTAAAAGCTCTACTGAGGCTGAATATAGAAGCATGAGTCAAACAACTAATGAGATCACTTAATTGGAAAGATTGTTTCATGAGCTTCATGTGGATATTCCTACTCCTACTATTCTGCATTGTGACAATATTTCTGCTCAGCACATTGCAGAAAATCCCTGCTTCCATGAGAGACTAAGCATCTTAGAAGAAAACATCATAAACTTTATGTACATTATGTTTGAGAAAATGTTCAGTCAGGCCTAATCAAGTTGAAGCATGTTTCTTCAGGCCAGCAACTTGCTGATATCATGAGCAAACCTCTTGGTTCTGATCAGTATAGAGCACTATCTTCTAAGATTGGTCTTGTGCAGCAAAGTTCAGCTCAAGAATGGTCTGTGTTGCCTGTCCCCAGTCATTCTTGAGGGGGGGGGGGGTATTGAGTTAAATATGTATTTGCTGCTGATGTAGCAAAATTAGCTATGAGTTTGTTACTGTTATAACAAACTTCTTCGAGAAGCTTCTCTGTTTCCTTACACTATATATCGTAGTTTGTACATGTTGTAAAGTGTGAGCTGACATAATAAAATTTCTTTCTAATTTTCTCCCAAAATTCTCTCTTAATTCTGAGTTTGTACGTTAACTCATTGGTACTTCTCATTTTGTTTGTCTAATAATTTTTTGGGAGTTTTGATACATCATTGATTCAGCTCAACCTAGCTTAGTAACCGGTTGAAGAGTCCATTAATAAAAAATAAAAAATAATAAATAAATAAATAAATAAAAACAAAACAAAACAAAACACAACTCAACTCAACTCAACATGAAAAGTCCTATGAGTACTTTAGTAGTGAGTTTGAATATAAATCTTCCAACCAAAACCTTATCAAACTTGAATACTTGATGGAGTTAGTTTATTAATATGGTTAAATTTTGATATTAATCCTACACTATTTTTCTTTACTTTTTTTTTAAAAAAAAATTCTTCCCTATATATGATACAAGTTTTCAATTTATTTAATTGGGTGTTTTTGTGGCATTGCAATCATGCTTTAGATATAATGTAATCGATTCACGACAATTTTTCTTTTTCTTAGATGGCCTCGAAGCGGTTGGACTAGGAACAGCGAGCATTTTGGGCTTCGGCCTATTGGGCTTGAGCAAATGAGAACTCGTTCTTTAAATTTGTAATCCTTACTTCGTGTATCTCAAATTTTTAGTATAAATAAAATTCTAACTTCCTCTTTTTTTTTTTTTTTTTTTTTTGTAGTGTTAAACCTTTTTTTTTTTTTAGAAAATTTCATTTTAACATTATAACTCTCTTTACTTCGGGTCTCCCCACCGAAATTTTTTTTTTTAATAGCAAAAATATTTCATTAATTAAAAGTCATACGACATCTACAATAGAGATTCGACGTTAACAAATACATAAGATATTGGATCAAATAGAATTTTCCTTCATAAAAACTACGATCGTCGAGTAGATCTTGCACTGCGGAGCATCTCCCGCTTATATCGCGGAAAATTACAGCCTTGTTGGAGAGACAATCTAACGATCCTTTGTAGCCATGAGGATGTTTTCCTTCTGATTCATCTGTTCGTATTCGAAAAACTTGATAACTTTTTCACCAACGAAATAATTGCATGACAATCCATTAGATCTGCTACCATGGATTCAAAACTAAGAAATTTCTCCCTCGAAAAGAGGAGATAAACCTTGTCTTTCGAAGGAGGTCGAAAAACCCTTGTCTTTCGAAGGAGATCGGAAACCCTTTCTTTCGAGGGAGAAAAGTTCCTCCCAAAAGGAGAAAGCATTATTATAAACCTAAAAAAACAATAAAGAAACAAGGATTGGGGCTTTCCACCGATTAAAATCGATGGAAGCCCCTTCAAAATTCAACAATGGAGGCTAGGGTTTTGGAGAGAGGAAGGAGGAGAGAGAAAGGATTTGAGAGATGTTTTTTTCCAAAGCACTCAACATAATGATACCGTCTCCCCCACCCAAATTTATTATTACTTGTTTAATGATTTATTTTCTTTCACATTTATTATTTTTCTATAAACTATTAACCCTACTGTATTTCAATTATAATTTTTTAAAACTCCAACTACCCACTTTTTATTTTATTTAAGTCGATTAAATTGTCTAAAACTGTATAACAATCAAAGTGTAACAATTAAAAAAAAACAATAGGGGGTATTAGAACATTGTTACTTATTTTATTAGAGGTGATCACAGGCCAAGCTTTGTAAATATTAAAAAAAAATGACCTATTCGAGCTGGTCTATGCCTAACATAGGGCAAAAAGGTCGTACTTAAACGGTTAAACTATTCTTATCTGAAAAAAAAAATTAAACTTATTTTTTTTTCTTTTCATAAATAAAAAAATAAGATGAATAAAATAGAGCCTTATTTACTGCTATATGAATATAAATTTCAAGGAAAATGGAGGGAAGGGAGCACCCATACACCATCATGGTCATTGGTTATATGTACTTCACTTCATATTTGTTTTCCCTAACTTATAAGTAGATTAAGTATTTATTCATATTTGGATTTTTTTTCTCTTTTCTTTAATGGATGTTGATATCCCGAGCCAAACCCTTGTGATGTATATGGGGTGGGTGTTCCATCCCCTCTATTTTCCATTAACGTACAGACAATAGTAATTAAGGCTCTTTTTTTTTTTTTATTATTATTATTCATCTTATTTTCAATCCTCTTAGACTCTTGTAAGTCCAAATAAAATAAGTCTAAGAAAAATAATTTCTGATAATAATTGATTAAGAGCAAGATTAGCCATGTCTCGTCTAAAGATTTTTTTCACATGCCACATCATATATTAATAATTTTTGATATTTTATAATTATCTTAAGACTCTTATAGATTCAACTAAATTTAGATCTTTATTCCTAGACTCATTTAAGTTTGCTTAAATTTACGTACTATTTTTATTTTCTTTTTTATATAGGATATTTTAACAGTATAATTTGCAAACGTGTCGTAAGTTAAATTACATATCTTACATAGCTGAAAAATAATATCAAACCACTAGATACAAAATTATAAATAATAATGAAATAACATGAATATTGCATTGTGATATATATACATAATACCATGGGTGTAAAATTTACATGATATTTGATTAAAATACAACAAAAAGTAGCAAATAAAGGAATAATTTGCATTAAAATACAATAAACAATTTTATCAATTAATATATATACAATAGTCAATATCAATTAAATTTACACTTCACATTTTTTTTTTCAATAAAATTAAATCAAATTATTGTTAACAATAATATTTTTCAGGGAGGGGGGATGTGCTTTCGTATACGTACATAGGCAAAATATAGTGTATAAAGTATTAAAATGAGTCTTAAATTGGGTCTTGAATTTTCAAGACTCCGTTTAAGACTTTGTAAGACTTTGCTTCATAAATGCATAAATTTTGTGGAGTCTTGTCTTAAAACAGTTTAAAAGTGATTTGCTGATGTCATGTATAGTCTTAAGACCTAAGGCTAATCTTGTTCTAATGTATCCAAATTCAAATTACAATGTGCTCAATAAATAAATAAATAAATTCAAATTACAATTAAAGTAAGCTTTGTTGAGGCTTAGGATTATGCTTTATACTCTATCACACCCCTCACACGAGGGTCAACCCCTCACACGAGAGTCTATTGGACTTAAAGTGTGGAAGCATCATGAGTCCTCCTCGTACCCAACGCTTCATATTTCACTTAAAGGTGGGGGTAGATGAGATTCGAACCCGTGACCTTTGTGTCACGTTGGCTCTGATACCATGTTGATGGACCATCTCAGCCAAAAACTTAATCTGATGGTTGAGGTCTAAGATTATGTTTTATACTCTATCGTGAATGGACTATCTTGACCAAAAGCTTAACATGATCGTTGATGCCCAGGGTAATGTTTTATACTCTATGAGTTCGGATAAGTTAAAAGTGAATTTAGTGAATAGAATATAAAACACCTCAACTTATAAAATAAAAGGTAATTCTACATTATAGCCCTGAAAATTTCAAAATTCTACACTGTGTTCATGATTTTTGAAAAGTCTACACTATAACCCCAAGGTTAACTTAGTTACTCTATTGTGCCCTTGTCGTTAAATATCCGTTAGTATGTTCCGTTATCTTCAAAAAAAAAATTTAAAAAAAAATCAAAACCGCCAACCCCAGCCACCCACAGCCAGCCGCTGCAACCGGCGACCAGCCTTACCCTCCAACCTCGAGCGGCGACAGCCGCCCAGACCCCCTTCCCCTTCCCCGGTGTCGACACTGCCCAGGCCACCCTCCCCTTTCCCCGTAAATCCTCGCGTACCCCTCCCCCTCACCTTAAATAGCCTCCCCAATCGCCGGAAAGCATCGAGCTACACCTCTCCTCACAGCCACCGCCGCCGTCGTAGCCTTCTGCTCTTATTCCTTTTCTCTCTCTTAGTCATAGCCTTCTGCTGCCAGAAATCGAAGGTTAACAGAGGCTAGGGCTAGGTTTTGGAATTTGGGGGTTGAGATTTGGGAGAATTCGCTGGATTTTGTGGTGTTCGAAAAGGTAAGAGCAGGTGGTCGAGGCAGCACCGACATCGGGGGAGGGGAAGGAGTCTGGGCGGTGGCCGGCGCTCCGAGAGGAAGGGGGATGGGCTGGTGGTGGCAGCGGGCTGGGTGGTTTTGGTGTTTTGTTTTTTTATTATTATTTTATTTATTTTATTATTTTTTTTTAATTTTTGTAAGCCAATCATACGTTGCTTCGTTAAAGATAACGAAACATACTAACGGAGATTTAGTGTCAAGGGTACACCAAAGTCACTAAGTGGACCTTGGGGTTATAATGTAGACTTTTTAAAAACCATGGATACAACATAGAATTTCTAAGGGTCTGTTCGGCAAAGGTAGTTGTAGCTGCTGGCTGTTAGCCTTTGAGCGGCTGTTAGCTGTAGAGGTAGCTGTGAGCTGTCAATAGGTAGTTGTGAGCTGTCAGTTGTCAAGGTAGATGTTCATAATATGAATGTTTGGCAAAACTAGCTTTTGAAATTATTATTATTATTATTATTATTATTATTATTATTATTATTATTATTATTATTATTATTATTAGTGGTAGTAGTAGTATGACATACCTTAACAAATCAAATAAACTTGTATACTTTTTTTTTTCCTCCTTTTGATTCTCAAATAACATACGAAAGTATAAATTTAATTATGATTTTGAAAGGAAGAAGATGGAGTAGAGAGTTTACATAGCTAGGAAAATATAACATTATATAAAAAAAATAATCAGGTAGAAAAATATGGTAGAAAACTTGATATTGTGGTTGACTGGAAAACAAATACACTGAGTAAAAAAAAAGATAAAACTTTTGTTATTTTTTTTAAGAAAAAAAATAAGAAAGATAATAAAA